TGAGTTTAGTCACGTGACGTGAAAACCTCGATATAGCACTGGTAAGCCAGTTGATACTGTATCAATGAAAACCTCAGTATAGCACTGGTAAGCCAGTTGATGCTTCATCAGTGAACAGGTTCATCATTTGACAAAGACGCCTGTCAGGAGACCCTTTCCTATTTTCTGACCAAAATATGTTTGTGTATACACGATGTTGTGTAGGTGACCGTGCAGTCAGTAGGGTTAAATGATCTCGTGTAGTTACTAAGCTTTAATTAGCTGTATTGAAATCCTTCTCTTTTTTTTTAACACATCGGCCATTTTCCACCAAAGCAGGGTGGCCCAAAAAAAGAAACGCTTGCATCATCACTCCATCACTCTTGCCAGAGGCAAGAGTGAGGGAGCGCAGGCACTTCCAACTTCCAGGACTCAAGTCTAGCTAACAGGTTTCCCTGAAGCCCTTCATATATGTTACTTTGCTTACACTCCAACAGCACGTAAAGTCATAAAAACCATTTGGCTATACTTGCTCACAACACGCTCAAACGCGCTTGATGGAAGTCCAAGCCCCTCGCACACAAAACCTCCTTTATCCCCTCCCTCCAACTTTTCCTAGGCCGACCCCTAGGAAAAGAGTGTATAACTAGGAGTTATACACTCCAAATCTTTCTGTTTCGTTCCATCCTCTCTAAATGTCCGAACCACCTCAACAGACTTTCCTCTGCCCTCCAAATAATACCTTTAATAACCCCACACCTTCTTCTAATCTCCAAGTTACAGATTCTCTTCATTATATTCACACCACATATTGCCCTCAGACACGACATCTCCACTGTCAAGCCTTCTTGTTGCAACATTCATCACCCATGCTTCACCCATATAAGAGCGCTGGTACCACTTTACTCTCATACATTCCCCTCTTTACTTCCATGGATAACGTTCCATGTCTCCACACTCCTCAGTGCTCCACTCACCATTTTCCCCTCATCAGTTCTGTGATTCATCTCCTCTTTCATAGACCCATCTACTGACAAGTCCACTCCTAAATGCCTGAATACATTCGCTCATTCACCAACCTCTGCAACTTCTCTTCAGAATCTCCCAAAGGCACAGCGTCATCAGCAAAGAGCAACTGTGACGACTCCCACTTTGTGTTAGATTATTTATCTTTAAACCCCACACCTCTTGCCAACACCTGAGCATTCACTTCTCTTACAACCCCATCCATAAATATATTGAACAACCATGGTGACATCACACATCCCTGGCTAAGGCCTACCTTTTCTGGGAAATAATCTCCTTCCTACATACTCTAACCTGAGCCTCATTATCCTCGTAAAAACTCTTAACTGGTTTCAGTAACCTACCAC